TGCTATGTGCACAACCCCAGCACGCATGCGCGCACAACCAGTGCTCCCCCCCATTTTTGGTGTGCTTTTTTCACCCTCTCCACCTCCAGAGACTTTATAGGAGCCTGAGGAGGGCGAAAACAGCACCCCCCTGGAGGCCCTTCGGAGGCTTCAAGAGCTTCCCTGAAGCCTCAGGACTGCGAAAAACCGGCCCTATGGGCAAACTGGAAGTTTGGGAACAGACTTCTGGTTTGCTCGTAGAGTCGGTTTTAGCCTTCTGGAGCCTTCAGGGGCCTTCAGGAGGATTCCCTGAAGGCTCCTGAGGGCAAAAAACAACTCTACGAGCAAGCTGGAAGTACGCCCTGAACTTCCAGTTTGCCCGTAGGGCCGGTTTTTCATGCTCCAGAGGCTTCAGGGAAGCTCCTGAAACCTCCAAAGGGCGAAAAATGGCTGAAGTTAGCTGGCCAGCACGCGCATGCGTGCTGACCAGCTGACAGGGCAATGCCTCGCATGCCCGGATAAATGGCTCCGCTTGCCATCACGGTTCTAAACAATGGATGTTACGGGTGATTTTGGAACATCTAATTATTTTTTGATTAAGATAGCAAGTTGGATACTTAAAAGGTCCTAGTTTAGTGAGATGTGTCTTGGCTTCTATGACTCGGCAAACATTAAGATCGAAAAATAAATTTTTGCCTCCCCCCCTTTCATTTTTTTAAACACAAGGAGGAAATTGGTAGGTCTGTGTGTAACAGACCTTGAAAGTACATGGTGGCCCTATGCAGCTTTGTGGGTTCCTCTACTCTGAAAGTTTATTTAAAGAACTGTTTCAGAGCACTTTTTATTTAAGCCTGACTAAGGAACCTAAATTTCTCATCTGCTCAGCCTTCTTTTTTGATTTGGTTACCATGTACAGTACATTTTTCTGATGTGACTATCCTTACACTTAGTTTGATCCATACTGTATGTAGATGCCTATCTCAGAGCCTGTAATTTATTCCAAAAAAGATTGTCCTAAATCAGAGCTTATATTTAATCCCCTGCAGTTTCTACATTTGTTTCAATCCTGTCCTCTAAAGCAAAAGAAATTAAGTCACAGCCCTAGCACAGAATTGGATGGAACTATGCCTTATTTTATTTGAGACGCGGTGGCTCAGTGACTAAGACGCTGAGCTTGTCGATCAGAAAGGTCAGCAGTTCAGCAGTTCAAATTCCTAGCACCACATAACAGAGTGAGCTCCCGTTACTTGTCCCAGCTTCTGCCAACCTAGCAGTTCGAAAGCATGTAAAAAATGCAAGTAGAAAAAAATAGGAACCACCTTTGGTGGGAAGGTAACAGCGTTCCATGCACCTTCGGCATTTAGTCATGCCGGTCACATGACCAGAGAATTCTTTGGACAGCGCTGGCTCTTTGACTTTGAAATGGAGATGAGCACCGCCCCTTAGAGTCAGGAACAACTAGCACATAATGTGTGAGGGGAACCTTTATCTTTATCTTATGCCTTATTTTATGAACACAGCCATAGGTTGTTATAGTTGCTTTGTGGCATTGCTGGCTCATTAGTATGATTACTAATAATAGTCTCTTTTTTGTTCCTCTCAAATTCTTTTTGCGGTTGTCTCTGTTGTTGTTGTTGTTGTTGTTGTTGTTGTTTTGTCTTATTTTTTTTAGAATAGGTGTTAAATATATATATTATTCTTTGACTCTTTTCCTGCAGAACAGAGGAGACACAACAAAGCAAGGATCAGACCTGCTATTTCTCTGTTCAAAATTAGCAGCTATCTCCAGGGGATAAAAGAGAGCAATGATTTCTAAAAAGAAACAAGTAACTGGACAGTAGAAGTGACTTTAGCAAATGTGTAGTAAAAAAGCAAAAAGCTGAAGAGCTTATCCCATTCTTTGCTCAGATGAAAAGAGGAGCAAATAATGCATAATACAGTGAGACAAATTTCTATATTTGAAAATAAATAAATAAATTCCTCGCATTTTTCTTTTTCTTTTTTAGTATTATGATTCCACTCCACCTACTACTTCCTCTAAGATTTTCCACAAAGCGGTCTTGGTACCTTTTAGTTTTCTGTTCCTTCTTTATTTGCTTTCACTTCTTCAATCAAGCATAAAGCAAAACTTATTAAGGTTTATACAACAAATCTTCCTTTATTTTTCAGCAGAAGTTGGTTTAATTTTCCAGACTGAATCAATCTTATGAAACTAAAATCTATGCATAACTATTTTTGGTTTTTTTCCCCACTTACACGCACGGATGGATGGATGGATGGGGGAGAGAGGGAGGGAGAGGGAGAGAGATTCTGCTGGAGGCTAGGAGAAGATGGATAAACACATTTCTATGACCATCATGGAGCAGCTCACCTGTATCTTTGTATTAAAGAAGAATGGAGAATTGTGGCCCTTACTCACCTACAAGCATTTCTGGTTTTCTATGGCTA